TATATATATATATATATATATATATATATATATATATATATATACCGCCAACCGGATTTCAGCTGCTAGCAACTTCCCTGCTGACAGTGGCGTAGTTAGGGGTAGGGCAAAGGGGGCCATGGCCCCTGTTAATCCGAAAGTTAAAAAAAGAATTGTTCTACTAAAAAGAGAATTGTCGTAGTCAGAATGAAGGCTGTACATGTACTCAAACGTGCCTCAAATACCATCTCCTACGATCTACATTTTCAAATTTTTCTGGGGGAGGACTCCCATACCCCGCCTGTTTTTCATCCCCCCCCCCCTCCTTGGAATCCTGGATCCGCCACTGAACAGTTACATATCTTGGGAGCAGAGAACAACTAACAAAAATGTCGCCTCTTTGCATGGCGTCCAAAACAAAGATTGCAGAGCTGAGAGGTGGAGGAGCGTAGGGTGTGGAGAGGGAGGCGGAGGAACCATTAAAATATTATGTCATCCACTATGTCTATATTGCACAGTTCGCTGTTTTTGGACCCCCTGTTGCCTGCTGATATATCTATTGAGACTATTGATGGCCCGACTTTTTGTTTCGCTCAGTAGCCGTGACTATTCCGTCCGCGGAACCTGTTGGGTAGGAATTAACCCACGTGTAATTGCACGGCGAGGACAGCGCGCGGCCGTAGGTGTTTGACTGTGATCGGTCTCGTATAAGAGTGCTCGCACAGACACACTCCTCGTACAAGGTAAACCAGAGCGCGACGCTGGAATGCGAGCAAGACGATGGATCACCATCTGCACACGCACCCAATGTGTTATTCCCGAACTCCCAATCCTTGCTGCGAGCGCGTCAATACACAAGTGACCTACTTTACCTGTGCACAAATCCGCAGCGCCATGCAAGCAGGGGCGCGCGTAGGTGGACAGGTAAGACAGGTAAGCGCTGAGCAGTTGGTGTGTGACGGTGACGCACGCAGCAGCGTGGGGGAACGACTAGCGTGCGGGCGGCGCGGGCATCCATTGGCAATGATGAACTGTAGCTGCCTCGATGTTATTCTTCCCTGCCCGCGTGCTTATGGCAAGGGCTAGGATGAAGTGTAGATGTATACAATGATGAATTTTTCCTTCTGTGATCACGATGGTGCGTGTTATGATAGATAGGATCTTAATTTTACTTTTACAATAGTGTACCATAAACCGGCGTGAACACGGTAAAGGCCAAGACACACTGCAGCGACAACGACCGACCGTAACGACAAAGTTCACCAGCACTGACCACAGTGCCATGCAGTGCCGCTCAAGGGGTCGTTGTCGTATCAGGTACTACAGATATGTACCCGAGGTACATATATGTATACACAAAGTGTACCAGACTTGTACGTACTACAGAAGTGTCCAGCCGGAGTTAATGTAAGCGGGCTATAGTACTACTGCCCACTGGTACTATAGTACTAGAGCTAATCCTAACCTAGCTCTAGTACTATACCCGCGTTCGATTAACTGCCGCAGTTAATCGAACGCGGGCTATATAGTACTAGAGCTAACACTAACCCTAACCCTAACACTAACCCTAACCCTAACCCTAAACGTACCTCATATAAAAATATAAACATAATACTAAACAACCTAAAACTACCTCGGGTACATATCTGTCGTACCTCTGATAGGGTCTATGTCCCCCGGGGTATAGCCCGACCAGGCTGTGCGACGGATTGTCTATGCGGTATTCTAACCCTAGCAATACCGTTTCTTGGAGCTACCCGGGGTATAGTCCGAGATTCCTCTAACCCACACCAAAACCACCAAAATCGTCAGTGTGGGCATTGGTCAGAGGAATCTCGGACTACCCGGGGTACTGCCGGAACGTACGCCTACTCCCTAACCCGAACCCGAACCCTAAACCTAACCCTAACCCTAATCCTAACCCTAACCATATCAAATAGTGACCAGGGTACGTTCTGGTATACCGGACCGTACCCAGTGTACGTTCCTGCAGTACCCTGGGGGACATAGACCAGTATGAGCTGTAGTTCCTGATACGACAACGACCCCATCTGCGCCAGTGCCAGTGGCATGCACACATGAGCAAACGGCAAAAAACTCCTCGACATCCGAAAACGAGTTGGGATGTCGAAGCTGGGGGTAAAAGGTCAAAGGTCAAAGGTCAAGAGGTGTAAAAGAAGGGGGAACATTCCCTCCTTAACTTAAGGTATAGGGAGGAAATGCAGAATTGCGGCACAAATCTAAACGGCTCGACCTAGGCTCGTGATAGTCTGTGTATAGCATCATGGTAGGAAAAGCCATCACTGTGCCGAAATTGGAGGTCACAGGTCAAAGGTCAATGTGCACAGGGCAGATTTTAGACATTTTCTGAGGACATGGTCTGACGGAGCGATTGAAAAACTTTTTTGTTTCAGTGGTGACCTAGCATTTTTATGGCTTTATTGAAAGGACCATGAAATGTACTTTCTGCTGACATGCGAAGAGTAAGTGTCGGATAACCTTTTGACCCTCAAGAGGCGGGTTAAACATGGATTTCTTTACTGATGTATGAGGCTACAATGTCACAGTGAAAT